TGTGTTTTTTTTTTCCCCCAATAAATTTCTAGAGCCAAAGTTGCTTTTCAAATATGACCAGAATTTATTTTTCTTATTTCTTTTTCACCCCTTTTTGGTGTCACGAGATACCCGATCCCATCACGAATTCAGTTTGCTGGCAAAATTTTCAGTACTATTCTAGGGCCACTCATTAGGGGGAGCAAAATTGTGTGCATTTAGGCCATAACTTGGAATAATCTTAGAAAACTTTAGAACCTAGGAATTTATGTTTCCTCCAAGACTCTAACCATTGGGGTGTTACTTAAGAGCTAATATATAATTCATTATAAATGCAGTATAATATAATTAAGTTTAATCACTCTTATCCACAGCCACCGAAGTAAGTTCACGTTGCAGTATGACACTCAGTAGCAACCAAAACTTACAAATAGTAAGTAGCAAGAGTATGATCTAGGGCCAGTGCTTGTGGCTCATGTCCAGAATCTATGCCAAATCAAAACTCAACTAAAGGATTGATAACTTGACCTAGCCTACCAGAACACAGAATCATTAGGTTGGATGGGGATGGCAAGACTCGCATTTGGAGATTATGACAATAGAACATTATTCACTAAACAGGAAATCTAACAAAAGTTTTTTGTGGATTTTGTTAGGTGAAGGGAAAGGTGAATACTTAAAAGTCATTTGTGGATTTTGTTAAAAATATAGATTCTTTTGTCTGTTTATAGGTTCCCTTTTTCTTAATACGTCCTGTGTACTGGATTGCACCTAGAGATGGAAATTGGGACTGGCAATGATGGGCCTGCTATTCTGACTCCGTGGCTACGCCTGTTGGAAATATCTTTTAATCCAATATTAGTTCTCATCTCAGACCTGTAATGGGCTTGTTAGACAATCAAATGTGTCCTAAACTCTTAATCTATTAATGAATGTAACTAACAATGTCTATCAAACTCGTACACTTCCTTGTTACTTGATCTTTAAAAAAAACAAAAAAAGCCCATACACTTCCACACAAACAATAATGTCTCAAGCACACGGAGATATAGAGAGAACAAATTAGACAAAAAAGACAAAACAACATAATGCAAATATAAATACAGGTGGAGTGGGACTGGGAGAACAAAAGCACAAAGGCTTGAACCCACAACCTCCTAGAAATAAAACTCTGGCACCATATTAGGTAACATGTTTCTCCATCCTGTTTTATCTGTTTTGAACCTCATTCTCTCTGTCTGTCTCTTCATGTGAGGAGGATAAGTTGATAGACAATACTTAGTCCATTCCTTATCAAATTAAGCCTTTAAGGCAAATAATAGTCAAACAGGGTATTAGAAATTTGGTTCCGGGAGGTCATAGTAAGGCAATGATGTATGTTTATAAGCTAATAGCATCCATCATTTTCTGGTTATATTCATTACTTTTTGTTTCTTAATGGGGCCATTGCTTGGTGCAGTGGCAAAAACTCAGGCTAGCAACTTTGAGAATAGATGTTCTAGTCAAAGGAGAGCCATTTTGTGCAAATAACGCCAAAGGTTAACTCAGTATATAATCCACTTAAAGGGATGGGGATATGTAGAGGCCCTAGAGGGGTTTTCTGATAGAAGGATACATGTCATAACCGGAAAGGCCACCAGAAAGGGGTGAGAATGGTGGAGGAGGAGGAAAGAAGAGAGAGGAAAGAGAGGGTGGCCATCCCATGCCCAAGGAGTGGGATATTCTCTAGATAGGGGGAGGACCCTTCATTTATCAGTGGAAGGGGTGTTTATAGCTAAAATCACATGTGAGGCCTCCACACATGTGAAAGACAAGTAATGAGTTGAGGACACGTCTTGAGTGGTGTCATTCCAAAAGAATGACGTGTCTTATTGGACCCTTTCCATCTCTCTTCTCAACTATGTAAATACCACTTACTAGAAGCGGCTAATCGCGTGGTATAAAGAGAATGAGTCCACATGCCGCTACTTCAATAGCTTGTAGTGACCCAATTACTGTGTCAAGATCCCCCGTGACACCATTCCTAGTCAGCACTTCCCTCTTGGCCCACTAAATCACACCCTCCTTGACGTATTATGGTTTGTTATGACAAACACAACGAACCCAAGATAGAACCAAAAATCAAGATAGAAAAGTAAACACACCACACAAAGAACACAAAGAACACAAAGATTTATACGTGGTTCAGCAACAGCCTACGTCCACGGTAGAGATCCAGCGAAAGACTTCACTATGTGTAAAATCGAAGGGTACAAGTTTTCAACCGCTCTCTGTGTTATGTACGAATTTCAGAATCTCTCTCTTACACTACTCCAAACCCTAAGCGCCCTTATATATCTGGCTACAAGAGACTAATTAGGGTCCACGACCCATGAGCAAACAACGGGTCAAAATTTTGGTCGTCGAGTAGTAAGCAGGTCGAAACGCGACCTGGCACCAAATTCGGACCACAACATCACATGGTTAATAATTACCTATGTGGCTAACAGGTGGCCAAGACCGAAATCTTTTACCTACGGGATGGAACTATAGAAAATGACCTTCAAGCATCTGCATTCCATGATTTTCACATTTGAGAGCAGTACCACATGAAGATTTAACTACGTACACAATCTTCTTTTATTATAGCTGTGGAAGTGTCCTAAGTCTTAGCTTTGTAACTAAGACAATTCAGTTTTTACTTTGACCAAATTTAAGGACATATCCTCTTTTAGCAAATATGTTTATTGCATGAATTCAAAAAATACATCCACTCAAAACAATCAGTCAACCTGAACCATTCGGCTAAAGCAAGATGGTGCTGCTGTCAACCTGCGACTACACTCTCATAATTGAATGCATGTCAAATTTTATCATGAAATTCCATTCTTGTCATTTGGCCTCTTACGGAAGAACATGCCATAAGTAAACAACAGAACCCGCTTAGATTTTGAGGGGCATCACATCAACAAGGATCTTAGCAAAGTTTGGGAGAGACGACAATAAAGTTTTTACCAGATTCTGTCTGAAGAATTGGAATTTATTGATATTTAAATACCATAAGTTTTAACCATTTAACCTCCTTGATACAGTTTGCAACAAGCTTATTTATCACATTAAATGTTGTCATCATGATTTAATGACTACATGACAGCAGAGAGCAGTGAGTCAAAGTTTATAATACGGACCAAAGCCAAATTGATTTAGTTGCGCTCAACAGAACCAATGAAAGCTGTCAAAATGAATTGTGTCAACAACACAGTACAAGATTTACGACGGGCTATAAAATTTTAATCCACCCTGGAGATGTTATCTAAGATTAGCACGCAATAAAGATGTGTCAGAGTAACAATGATGAAATTCCTATCAGCAATTGAAGGCTCTAGGAAGCTTGATATTGGTATGAATGAATTTTGTCAGTGCAAAAAAGTTTGACCAAAATGACAAACTGCTCATAAAAAAACACAGAAAAACACGTCAACACCTGACCAGTTCTTTCTTTTTTTTTTTTTTTTTTTTTTTTTTTATGCCGCTTGTTGAGGATCTACCTCGAAGATTAGTGATTGTGTCAAACGCAAGAGACAAACTTTGCAGATGACTTATGTCCCTTAACATTGTAATGTGGCATGTCAAAAAAAAAAAAAAAATCGCTTGGAGATTATATGGGAATTCACAAATTATAATGCATTTGGGACATAACTATGCTTCAACACAGTTTCACTCTATCAGAGAGAGAGATACAGTGCTGAAGCATAATTAATTAAGAAACACTAGTAAGCGCACATAGATGATAAAATTAGGAAAAGTAGACTTCGGTGGTATGGACATATTCAGCGTAGACCCAAGTGCACCTGTTAAAAGAGGAAGAGTTGTTTTCCTAGAAGGTAAACGACAAAGAGGCCAACCAAAGCAATAATGTTCCAAGACCATGTCCAGGAAGGCAATTTTTCAGAAGAAGGGTGGCTGGTTATGAAGAGTGTTGACATTCATACAATAATGTTCCAAGACCATTATCTTGATTTCCTTTTTTTTTTTTTTTTTTTTTTTAGTAGGAGGTGAGGGCTGCAATCCTCCTTGAGAACTACAAAATAGTGATATGTGTTCCCAAGGTAGATGCTAAATTGCTACACAACAGTATCCTTTCAACATTTTGATACAGTATGGTCATTCTTAAAACCTTTAGGAAAGAGAGAACTTCGAGGAGAATTGCTGAGTAATTGGAAGATGTGAGGATTGAACAGTCTAAGTAACTTTACATAAGTGTCATGTATGTCATGCAAGCGTGCACAACACACGTGAACACACACCACACACACTTATCATTATAAGAACATCACATCATTTAGAAGAATAGAAGTAGCAGCTATGACTGAAATGCTCCTCTGTTCTCCCTTGTCGGAGTTGAAGTAGTTGCACCAGCGACACCCTTCTAGAATCTCAATATCTCAAGTGTGCAGCGAGTTCTCTTTATAGGGTCAGTAACATGAGTAGCAAGTTGCTTACTTATCAAAAAAAAAAAAAACATGAGTAGCAAGTTGCTTATAAGAGCCAAATAAAGACTATTGAATTTGGAAGGGAAAAAACTTGATTAGTTAGGAGTTAGGACTCGTCCCAAGCCTTTCACTAATTCTCAAACTATCAACAAGGAAAGCACGTATGAACTAAATAAAAGCTGAAGAGCAGACGCAAAAAAAAAAAAAAAAAATCTAGGGAAGCCAAAAAAATAGAAGCTATGAATCATAGTCGTGACAAGAGGAATGAACTTATATTTCTATTCAGTGTAAAAACACCAACAGACTTGCTTCACTTTACACTTTACGGGCAAACTAAAATATAAGTGCTCCTGTGAGATCTAAATTTTGCCCATTTTGAAACCATGTATGAACATATGAAGTTCAGATGAGATGACATGAAGTACTATAAGCATATGCAAACAGTGAAAAAAAAAAAAATCATATGGAAAAGAGGAAAAAAAAATATAGAAGGACAAACACAATAACAGCAGAATCAAATATGCAAGAGAAATTATAATCACAAAATACCTTGACAGGAAATGTGCCTTGAGGTAGTTTAGTAGTCAAAAGATCCCTCAATCTCCTAATGGCCCTCACCTTATTGGCTAAGATGTCAAGTAAAGGCAAGAGCTCTTCTATCTTCAAAGGGAAATCTGGTGTCAACCACAGAACAGGTCTCAAACCCTTTTTATACTTGCTCTCATTCTTAGAATCACTTGTAGCCCCTTTCTTCTTTTTTTTCTTGCTGCTTTTATCTTTGTTCTTTTTAACATCCCCCATTTCTTCCCTGGGGATTTTAGATGATGATCTTTGACTATAATTAGGTTGCCGGTTGCTATTCTCAGGAGCCAACTTTGACAACTTCTTTAAAATCTTTAAATCCTCGGGATTATCACCTCCATGCTTCGAACCTTTCTTATTCCAACCAAACCAACTCTTCTTCTGTTTGACAACACCATTAAATTCATTACTTTCAGAGGAAGCTCCACCATTTTCACTGCAATCCTGACCCTCATGTTCCTCGTCCTCACAAAGACCATCTGAATTCCCCATTTCAAGTGCAGAATCTAATTGCATCCTTTCCTCAGCTGTCAACAAATCATCATAATCATGTTCACCTCCATTTATTATTCTTCCATCATCATCCACAGAAAAAAGCTCCTCGTCAGTCATAGCACCAGGAACCTGCCTCGATTTCACACTCACCGTCACATTAAGCATGTCATAGACCTTGGCTTTCCAATTTCCTACCATCTCACTCCTCTCTTGCCGCCTCCAATTATGTTGGGGAACAAGCTCAGCCTTAGTAATGTCAATACCTGGCTTATACATGTTAGTTTGAGACATCAAGGTCACTTCGTGGGCGACTTCCGCTTCCGTTGGTTGAGCACCAGCTCCCTCCAAAGTGTTTGTTATTTCTTTCCTCTTGTGAGCAAGTGCAATCAAAGAACCAGGAGGTAAAGATATATTACCATCTTCAGAAGAATATCCATCTCCAAGGAAGAGGAAAGTTTGATCGGAGCGTTGAATACGAAACCCATCAAAGCCAGCAAGGGTCATATCAGCACGGAGATTAGAGCCACGCTTCCAAATTCTGTAAGTGTCTGACGGGGCAACGCGGCCGATGAATGGAATGACAGAGCTTTCAAAATGGAAGGTTATTTCCATGTAAAAATCACGAAGTCGAGCTGTTGAGGCAATAATGCGAGGAAGCCTACGACACCATTTAGCCCAGGCAAGAAACTGGTAATGCTGGGCGATGATAATAGCAATCTTTTCCTCTCTGGCACAAATTGCTTCTTGAAGAGCACTCCATCCATCCTCATTCTGAAGACTCCAGTCAGCACCGGCTGCCATTAAAATCTCAGCTGACATTGGATCACGGAAGCGCACAGCAAGGTGCAGTGGGGTTTCACGGCCCGGAACATCCCGCCGATCAATAACAGCAGATACAGCGTCAGCTTCTACCTCAGCAGCAAGAGATTCAGCTTCAGTGTTAACCTCGCCAGCCTTAGCGAGCTGAGGGAGGGTTGAGGTGATTCTTCTGAGGGCGGCATGGTCACAGCGTGCAACCGCTAAATGAGCAGGACTGTGGGCATATTTAGACCAATCTTCCATTGAATCTTTTGTTTCCTATTACTTTTACAAAGCTACGGTTTCTTCCATTTCTATTCTAAAGTTCAAACTGCAGAGTTGGAACATTGGAGTATATACTCAAAACTTTAATCTTCTCCAAACATCCAATTATTGTGTTATTGTAGGGTTTCAGACACTATAAAAGGCCAGAAAAACTTATGGGTTTTGGCCCTCTACTACTATAGTCAACTTCAGATTCACAGTTATCACTATATATCTCTTCAATGGCACTCAAATTATTCCGAAAATCCAAATCAAAACCCTCTAAAGAAGAAGAACAATTATAAGAAATTTAAATTCAAATTCAAACCACTTCAAATTACAGTCACCTAATCATTCTTCTATATCATCAAAGACACCAGTCAGTTGCTGAAAGCGTGGCACACTTCAACATCCTATATGAAATCCAATGATCCGTACAGTGGCTTTCAAAGAGCTCAAATCTGAAAAATTAAATCAATAATAATAAAATACCATAAAACAGAAAATTCAAAATCGCATAAATTACCAGAAAAAAGCAAATCCTAATTTTGTGCATCACATACTGGATAACAAGCAATTCTCTTATAGCTAAAAAGTACTTGACTCCGTCATTTAGCAGGTTTACATATACATTTATATATATACACACATACATACACGAAGCTCCTTTTCGATAAGATAAATTTGCTTCTTATCCGGTATCTGATGCCCAAATATTAGCTTTATAATAGTAGGATTGGTTATGTGTGTGTATATCCATATATGCTATATATATAGCTATCTATATATGCATATACAGCTATCTCTTGATTTCAAAATTCTTTTCTATCAGTTAATTTTTCTCTCTCTCTCAAGTCGAGATGGGTTGTGAAAATTTATAGCTGGGAAAAAAACACCTGAAAATGCGAATTTTGAGTCGGAGATGTGTTGATTTATCTGATATATAGCTCTGATCCTTCTCATTGTTCTTCAATTGAGCTCTGGAGAGAGAAGATTGAGTTCTAGAGAGAGAAGATAGAAGAAATTAAACGAACAGATCATCACATCGGAGAGTTTAGGATCAGTCAATGGTATATATGGATCTTCTTCTTCCTCTCCCCTCCGCTGTCTCAGCCATCAATGCTGTTCTCGCAGAACAGACATGACAAACTCGACCCGAGTCGTTCCCCCAACCCAATCAGCGCTCTCTCTCTCTCCACCTCCCTCCCGCTTTCCCTCTCTCTATATATATATATATCAATTTTTCTATATCTACTACCTATGGACTTGACTTCTTTTTGGGGTTTTTATTTTTTTACTATATATAAAAAAAAATCCTTGTGTTTTCTCTCTCTAAAACTATTGGGTGGGTCAATATTTAATTTGAGTGAAGGTACAAATAAATTAGCGGGCAAATGAAATCATGAACAATTAGGGCTAGTTTATTAAGCAAATGAATTAAGTTCGCACTCGTTTCTTATGCTCGTTTAATTAATAAGTCGATCTCATATAGAGTGGAGCTCGGCTCGTGAAAATGAGTTCATATAGACTTGTTTATGTTCGTTAACATAGGCTTGTCTAGGCTCATATATGGTTTGTGAACCATAAACTCGTGAACATGGTGAGTTTGAAAACAAGCGTGAACCAATTTTGAACATATGAGTTCAATTTGTTTACTTAAGCGAGACGAGCCAAGTTGAGCTGGGTTTGAGCTGTTTAAAATCATAATCAGTTTGAGTTCAATTTTTTGAGCTTATCATGATCCCGAGTTGAGCCTGTAACAAACGGGCCTGAGCTCGAGCAGCTCAGCTCGATTACGTTCGTTTGGAGCCTTATAAATAATGATGGATCGACTGCAATGAATTTTATTTTATTTATTTATTTATTTATTTTTTGTGACTCAATAAATAGTGTCGATAAGAGAATTCTTGTCATCCCTGAATAAAAATGAGCACTGAAATAAACTCCGACACCCAACTGTCTTTAAGTTTACTAATTTACGGTAAGAATAAAGTCTTTCTCCTCGTAGGGTGTTCATCTCGGAACTTCTATTATATTTTTTTATTTTATATAAAACTCCAATAAATAGCGTCCAAGAAAAACTCTAATCCACATCTCCTACTAAGGTGTTTCTATCTCCAATAACTTGATGGATCATTTCCCTATATAGTTATATTATCACAACGCAAGAAAAGTATTATGATCTATATTTTTTACGATTAATTTACAAAAGAAAAAGGAATAGTAGTTATTTACCAATGGTAAAGTTTTTTTACTTTATTTTCTTTTAATTCAATTTTTTGTTATATGATGGTTAGCACCAATACAGGAGATACCTATAATGATGTACAATTTTTATTAGGATAGGATCAATTTACGCGAGGTATTTTTTTTACTTTCTTTTACTTTTTAACTTGTGTTTAAAGGTTTTTTTTTTTTTTATTTTTTTTTTTTACTTTCTTTCTCTTAGTAATATAATATTGGAATAAAGTTTTATGTTGAAATGTTAAAACTTCGTGTTTGTGAGATAGATGAGGTTAAAAAAAAAAAAAAAATTCCTATAAAATGAAATTCTTTTTATATTTATATAAATAGATATCACCATCATTATCATTAGTAGTACTAGTTTGCGTAATTATCTTTCGATGCCTTAAATTATAGATGCAATTTGATTCATTTTTTCAAAATAATGCATATACATTGTGTATTGAGCTTGAAGTGCTAGTAAATTTTCAATGAAACAGTAATAACAACGTGACACCACCCATATGGCACTACATATAATATATAGAGCCCTCACTCAATTCAGATACAATATTGTACGTGTCATTACGATTTGTGTCATAATTAGTGAAGAACCTACATATAACACTTCATTCTTCTACACCTAGGCGATGTGAAAATTATGAATACATGTAAATTGCACACATAGCTCACAACAAAACCTTGCCTCTCCCAAGCCTCCTCCCGCCGCTCACACTACAAGTTATTAAATCTTACCATGCAAACAAGTTGGAATAATAAACTCAAAAGCCTACACACCATGAGCAAACCTCCTCTCTCTATCCAGTACCACCATGAGCAACTACAACCACCTTCCATCTCCAATCAGTCTCACCACCATCACCAACCTTAGCAACCCCAGCTCAAACAGAAGAAAACTATACAGCATCAGCTGCAACCCTTTGACAAACAGAAAACTATGCTCACCAAAACACAAGGCCAAAAAACATCTTCCCAACAGTTTAACCAAAAACCCTCACTCAATCAAAACAACCACTCTCATCACCAGTTCCCCTCAATTAATAACCCCATTCCAAATCATCTAAAGCCACCATTCTCCCCTTTACGTTGTAAATGCATCCCACCTATAATCACAAAATAGACCACAACATTAAAAAAACCAACAAAAACAAGTCACCACCATTCACCGCTAACTTATAGACCAACAAAACCTACAACCCTGCTAACACAAGTTTATCATCCCCATTACCATCTTCCCTCAACGGAAAACCATTCCCATCACCAACCATCAAACCAATCCAAAACACAAGGAACACAATACATGTTCCCTCCTCCTTAACAAAAGAGCACATTTCCCCTCACTCACAGGAAATCTCCACTGTCCATAAGCAAGTTTCAACCTCACCACAACCATAGTTCTCCAGGGCACCAGATTGATCGCCTCACTGAACAACTGCAGTGGAAAGATGAGAATTTAGGCAAAGCATTGGACATATTCAAGGAAAAGAACGAGATCATCTTTGAATTAAGGGAAGAAATTGCTCAATCTAAAACCCATAATGCATAACCTAACATGCACTGAGGCTACAAGGACACCATCTCAAAGTTACAAACAGAACTTGCTGAGCTCAAGAGGCAGATCCACCACCAACAGCCACTAATAACCACCACCTCAAACTTCGATGATCTGACAAACAAGGTGGACCTAAGTTTGTGTTCAAATTTGAATTTGAATTCAAATGGAACTGCTACATTACCATTGCAGGCACATCTACAGGCATCACTGTCAACTGTACCATCCTTACCACATACCCCACACACCATTCCAATTAAGGTAAGCCCTCCCACCAACCTCATCCCATCCCCTACTTTACAACCTACATTTGGCTTACAACCAAACTCTCCACACACTATTGCCAACCCTATACCTATATCTACCTTAGTACATCACATCACTGATCCACAACTTTCCAAACCTCATTCCCCCCCCCCCCCCCCCCCCCCGGGAGCCATTAACCATCAGACAAAACTATGGTCTGAAGTGGTGAAATAATGCAATGACAAAATGAAATTTGAATTCCTCCCTCCACCCTCACCTTCAGCCATCATTGAACCTCCAAAAGAAGTATTTGAAGAAGGTCTCCAATTCTGGAATGAATCTCACCTGGTAGGGATATCCATCCATAAAAAAATCCCCTTCAAGGTCATCCAATCAGTAACAACCAAGTTATGTAGGAAACATGGACTCATTGCCACAATCCAAGGAGCAGGAAATTCCTATTTTTTTATATTCAAATCAACAACTGAAATAGAAAGGGTGTTATCACTTGGGCTATGGAACATTGCTGGCCATCCTTTCTCTTTGATGAAATGGAACCAAGTCAACCAACCTCATTTAACTTACCTGGGTTAAATTTCACAATATTTCCCCCAATTATTGGATAGCCAAAGGTCTTAGTTACATTTCCAGTTCAGTAAGAGAGCCCCTTTATGCTGATGAAGCCACAGAAAATAAAACCAAGCTTAAATTTGTAAGAATTTGTATTAATCTTAATCTATCCAAACCACTACAGAATGAAGTTCAGCTCAAAATGGAGGATGACAGTATTGAACAAACCAGAATTAAATACCAATGGCTTCCAAAATTCTGCACTAAATGCAACCAGCTCAACCACACTGAAAACTAATGCCCTCTAAACTTCATTAAACCTCCTCACCACAAGACCAACCACAATGTAAACACCAATAATCCCAGCCCCCCACAGAAAGATCACACCCCAGCAAACAATCCCCCCACCACAGAATGGATAACAGTCGGGAAGAAAAAGAGAAAACCACCAACAATCATTCATGAATCATCACTGTAATCCCACTCCAACTCTCTCACCAATAAAATGCTCTAGCACATCTACCTCAGGATGCCAACCCACCCAATCACCTTACTACATCATCCCCATCCACCCCTATTGTATATCACACCCACTCCTCTGCTGATACATTGGTATAGAATACTTTCTCAAGCTTAACCATGTCACCTACTACACACACTCCTTCCCACTCCCCACTATGCTCCAAGAAACTAAACTTCTCAAACATAAGCCCACCTCCTCCCAAGACTCAACATCCAGCCAACTCCATAGCCACACCAACCTCCCCATCTACCTTCCCTCAGTTCAGGAAACAAGGAAGAATCCACCAATCAACAGATTGGACATACCCTCTGCAAACACAAATGAAAAGTTAACAATTAGATCCATGAAGATAGTAGCAAGGAGGAAGTCTTGCAGCAACACAGATTTGATGTCTAATGGCTCTGTTCAAGGCCACAAGCATCCTGAAAGTCCTCTCTCCCACACTTTTTATGTTAACTTTCCTTACTTGGAATAATAGAGGGCTGAACCAACCCTCTAAACAGTCAGAGATCAAAAAACGCATCTTTGACAAGAAACTTAATTTACTTTGTATTGTGGAGACTAAGGTCTCACTTACAAACATTGAATCTATCGATAGATTCTTAGCTCCCTCAAGGTATATTGTACACAACTACAATTTCTCTCATTTAGGTAGAATTTGGGTATTGTGGAACCCCAATGTAATACAACTCACCGTAACAGACATCAATAGGTAAGCAATTCACTGCAGCATAACCATCATAGGGCAAAACATTTCCTTCTTCACCTCTTTCATATATGCAGCTAACTCAGCAGTTGAAAGACAAGTTTTTTGGGAAAACATCACTTTTCATGCAGGCAACTTGGCTCAATCCCCATGGCTTTTAATGGGTGACTTTAATGTCATCCCTAATGCTGGTGAGAAGCATGGTGGAGCAATCAGATAGTGCCCAGCCATGACTGATTTCAAATAGTGCCTACAAAAAGCTGAACTTGAAGACCTTAAATTTAATGAAATCCTGTATTTTTGGTGTAAGAAGAGCTTGGGAGCAACCTGTATTGCCAAAAAATTGGATCGAGCCTTGGTCAACCAAATGTGGATCAACTCTT